GCAGGTGTAGGGGGTGTTCCAGGCACTGGGCAGCAGGGCCAGGCGCAGGCTCCGGCCATCAGCAGAGAGCTGGTGCGGCTCAAACCGCAGTGGGCGCGGTGGGCTGCCCGTCCCCCAGGTCACATTCACAGAGGCCTGGTTGGGTGCTTGGCAATGCAGTGTGACGTTGCACCACTCCGGGGTGCTGCCCAGAAGCTGGCAGTGGGCCCGGGGTGCTGGCACTGGTTCTGCATGCGGGAGACAGGCAGTTGGATCTGACACTGCAGAGACCAAGCCACCCTGGCAAGTGTCCCCCACCCCGACCCTGGCACATGCCCCAGTCTCCAGCACCCGAAATCTATCAGGCCCTGAGGAGATGCCCGGACCTTCACCACCTCTGATGCTCCCGTTCCTTGGGGCTCACTCAGGCCAGGGCCAGGGAAAGGAGCGGTCTCTCACCGGTGCCCACCAAGACACTTGCACGGTTCCTCGTCTCCATCTCTGGGGCTCAGAGAGACACCAGAGCTGGAAAGATTTAATGCAAGTGGAGAGCGGGTCGTGCCAAACACACACGTGTGAACTTTGTGAGGAGGAAGGTGCCAAGTGGGTGTGAGATGCGAATCTCTAGGCCATGCGGTTAGAGCATCAGTGGGAACCTGGGCTCTGCCACTGCCTCTGGGTGGCCTCAGGCAAGTCCCCTCATCCCTCACTAGACTCCCCCTCTGGATCTGCCAACAATGAGCAGTGGTGAGGCCTAGACCCGACGCTGGAGTTGCTTGTGTTTCAGAGCCCCGACGGACTTCCAGGCTCTTACCGTAAACGGCGAGGTGGAAGTCGTAATCCTCCACGACCGCCGGGTGCAGTTTCACGCGGGCGCTGTACTTGCCGCTGTCATCCCGCTGCAGTGCCCGGATGCCTAGTGCTGTGGCATTGGGCACCTCCAGCCGCTGCCGGAACCGGTCACCAGGATCCGGGCGCTCCAGCTTCCCGGCGTTGAACTCCGCCACCACGATGGCGCTGCTTGGCCCTGCGGTGAAGCTCCATTCTGTTGCCTTCACCTGCGCCCCCGGAGGCAGGGACACGGACAGCCAGGCCGAGCTGCCCAGCACCCCGTTCACCTGGCGGGCCATGGGCTGCGTGAGGCGTGGTGGGGCCTGTGCGTGGCCGGCTGGGGGGTCTGTGGAGAGAGGCACAAGGAGCATTAGCAACGCGGGATTGCAGCAACATAAGCAACATCAGCAGAGCAAAGGCTCGCGGGGAACACCCCTATCTGGGCTGCGTCTCTTCCAGTCATCCTAAGGCTTTGGGGGCCACTGAGGCAGCATGAGAAGGAAGCAAGATGCTGCTCAAAGCACTGAGCCCCAGCCCCAGCCCCGCCTGCCAGGGGTGCTCAAGCAGCGCCCTGCTCCCTGCAGTATCTGGGCAGGGGCAAATCTCACCCAGCAAGGACGTATTTAGGGGTGCTTGGGCTCCAGGGACTTTGGCAACTTTGGAGGATCTGGGCTTTAGTGCTTCACTAGAACATGCCCTTGAACAGAGACCCTTTGTCCTGAGTTTGTACAGTGGCAGTGTAGCATCCTGTCCCAGGGCTGGGCCTCTGATATAATGGTCCCACCAAAACCTAGGATACCCAGCCGAGTAGAGGGTCTGGCCAGCGCCACAAATTCCCTCGGGACTTGTGGGCTCAGCTGGTTTTACAGACAGCTTCCGGGGAACCCGGGAAGGCCCCAGGTCTGTTCAAAGTAGCAGTTTCAAAGTGGCCCCATTTCCCCCCTCCCACGCATCTCCGTGGATCTCTGCAGTGCAACAGCCCCTAGGAGGATGGGGGAGCCCCTGTGGATGGCTGCGCCCCCACACAGCCTCCTTCGCTGCCTGCTTGGCTAGCCAGTGCGCGGAGAGCACGATGGTATCAGTTCCTCCTTTCCATCGCAGGTCCGTCCCTGGCTGCCTGTGCCGTCCTGGGCTAAATCCCCCTGCAAACAGCCATGCCTGGCCACAAAACTATCTCACCCAGAGGTGAAAACAAGGAGTCCTAATATCTCTGGCTCTCAATACTGGCCAATCTAAATGCCCACTATGCTGTGCTGAGATTAGGTTTGGGGTGGGGTGGGGGCACCCACCATCTAGTGGTGCATTTGCCAGGTTGATGGCAGGGCTGGTTTTTGCAGCTTTCCCCGGGCAGTGGTGAATGAATCTTTCCAGCAGGGAGGGGGAACTTCATGAGAGGCAAAGGGCAGCTTTCAGCCGGCGGGGAAGTCCAGACCCAGACACAACTCCCACTGAGAACAGCAGGCCACATCGCCAGCCAGCACCATAGACAACAGTCCAGCTCCATCCTCAATGCACAAGCTAATTCAATTCCAGCTCGGAGGAAAGGCAGCAAGAGGGCACAGCAGCCCCCCTGGCTCTC